ACACACAAGCTAGTACAGTCAAAACCAACCTGTAACTAAGATCACTCAAGGAAAACCCGTACATGGTCCTTTATAAACATAGGTCCGTGCTATGGAGGCAGTTCCACTATGATAACTAACGCTGAAGGGATCGTTGACGTATATGTAGTACCCGAGGGGTCGGCGAGTATCTCGCCTACGCCTACTCCCTAACCCTAACATCCTAACCGTAATCCTAACCATATCAAATAGTTACCTCGGGTACATATTATACGCCATTATAACGAGAACGACGCTTCGTGCATAACTAACAGCCACTGCGGCTATAGGAAATGGCAACCGTCTAAATAGGAAATGGTCTAGAGAGGTGCATGAATGCTAGGCGTACCTCGACGCAAGACTTCATCAGTAAATACGTGCACTAATGAGACCAGATATGATGATTATAGTTGAATGGTGCAAGCTTGCCAATTAAAGCTGGCTGCGTTAATAGGCTGTAGCGTAATTAGCGATTAGATTATTTCTGCAGCTCGTCACCTTCGACTCCACGGGTCACGAAGCCCACTTAACATTCAGCATCCGCCCTCTCCATCTCACCCATATATTGTACTCTACTCTTTGCCCTTCTCTTGTCGTCCCCACCGTTATACTATACACCCTCCTCGCCCTTCTCCTACACTCTGTATCTTTGCCCTTCTCTTGTTCGCTCCTCATTTCCTCTTTAAAATCCCCGTCCCCTCTCTATTCCCCTGCTCCCTCTTCTCCCCACTCTTATGTTATCCCCTCCTCATCGTTATCTTATCATCTACTCCCCACTCTTCTGTTATCCCCTCCCCCTCACCACTATCTTATCATCTACTCCCCACTCTTCTGTTATCCCCTCCCCCTCACCACTATCTTATCATCTACTCCTCACTCTTCTGTTATCCCCTCTCCCTCACCACTATCTTATCATCTACTCCTCAGTCGTCTGCTATCACTTCTTCCGCATCATTATCCTGCTCCCTACTCCTAACCTTTCTGTTACCCCCTCATCCTCGCCATTATGTTGTCCCCTACTCCTCACTCTTCTCTTGCACTCTCCCTCTCGCCCATCTATTATCTCCTCTCCTTATCTGTCCCCCTTTCTTCTCCTTCTCACAAGTCTCTTCGCCCTTTCACCTCTACAGCTTCTTGCAAGCAAACCATACTTCCGTCTCTCATTAACTCGCATGATCTGCTAGCATCCTATACGAGATTACGTCACGCGGTTACATCCGTAAGTTAACGACGAAAGATGGTTAGTTACGGCATGCAAGCATCCTCTGACCGAATTTCCTCAGCTTCCCGTCGCTCGTCACAGAAAATAAATCGTGGTCGTAGCTCGATCACACGCTAGGGATCAATTTCTCGACTCCGTCGAGTAACAACGAGAGGAAAGGGTGCAGCTCCCCGTCAACGTGCATACTGTGACACGGGGTGGCTGTGTGACATGATTTGTCACGTACGACTACATCAATATTTACACTTATTTTATTGTGACTTTTATTTTATTCGGCTTTTTATCTTTCCCGAAGATCTACGTGGATAGCTGCGCTCCTTGTTTCACACCCAGAAGCTACGCCCGAGTGTCCAACATAACATGACGTAATCAGGGATATAATTTGGAGACGCGCGCGCGCGCGTGCTGTGACGCACGTTCACGATACGAGCACGTAAATTAATTAGATTCAAAGATGGCCGACGACGCTATTAGGGAGGGAGCAGACGCCGTCGTGACGTCTCCTGTTCGCAGATTCAAAGCCTCAAGAGACCACAAGTATGGTCCATGACAGCCATTGATTCCACTGTAAATGATATTGCTTTTCCCGGTACGAAATCTCGAGAGATTTCCTCCTGTGCCTATGCGGATATTGAACGAATATCTTGTATATATACGCGGCGTAAAATATAACTGGCCAAATAATATCGTTCAAGGTAGCCCGTTATTCCATCGTACAAGTACTTGCTTTATACTCTATGAAATCTCATATGATTTCCTCCCCCCCCCCCTCATATCGTCCTATCCAGTTCGCGCACGTTAATTAAGTTACTTCGCACACGCGTGGTGTAAAATATAATGCACTTATCCGTGTCTGCTTCACCGAGATGCTCCCCAGACGCTCTACACTCTACAGAAACATGCACGCGTCTTCTAGGGCCGAACACCCTTCCCCATCCTGACCTGCGTCCACGGAATAAACATCCCCCAGGGGTGCACACTGGGTGTCGTTTGCGAAACATCGCAAGTAATTAAAACTATCAAGAGTACATAATAGAGATTAGATAATACATAATATACTAGATAGATAGATAGATATACTTAGATCTACCTTAGATCTATCTATCCTAGATAGATAGATATACTTAAAGGGACTATGTCACGAATTTTCTATGGTAAAATTTGTTTTAAAAAAATTGCAATTTTTTTACATTAAAAGTAAGAACTAACGGGACTAAACAAATCGTCAAATTCTTACCTGATAAAATTGTTTCTCAACTAGTTAAAAATCCAAAAAACCTGGAAGATTTGAATTAATGTTCTCAACATTAATTGCTTGCTATGGGCTATGTATGACTCACGAGTGTACGTTCACATCGAACAATATAGTAAAATAGGAAGTATAATGCAGCAATTTAACCATAAAATGTGAACAGAATTACTTATATTTTGTGAAAAAGTGGAAATATTTTTTTCATTTTTTACTATTTACGGTGACGTAATCACTTTAACTGTGGCTATAGTTTTTCAATGGTG